TTGTTATTATTTTGATTTCTTTTGGAGTGATTGTCCGTGAAGCAAAAATCACGTGCTCACAGTGAGCAGGAGATCATCGCCTTTATATGGAAAAATATTATATGATGTTTCGGCATCCCCAAGGAAATCAGCTGCGACAACGGACCTCAGTTTGTCGGAAAAAGAATGAATGAGTTCTTCGAAAAATGGCACATCAAATGGATACTCTCCAAGCCGTATCATCCTGCTGCCAACAGCCAAGCCGAGTCCTCCAACAAAGTGATACTGAACATATTGAAAAAGAAGCTCGAGGAAGCTAAAGGGCTATGGCCTGAACTACTATCTGAAGTAGTATGGGCATCAAGGTGAACCTGCTTTGTCTCAGAAAGTATGGGGTTTGGAGTAGAAGGCGGATCTTTGAGGAAATCATTCCGGGATAGGGGATGCCTCGATAGTAGCGCCTCTACCGTAAGAGGGCTATCACCCTCTTCTACCTCCACCTTTTCGCTGCCAGAAAGAGGCGTTGTTGTTGACGGGGTGATTTCGGGAACCTCTTTATTAGCACGATAAGACCTTGGCATAGCCTCATTTAAAGGATTAGCGACACAAAGGGAGGGAAAAAGAAGAAACTTCCGTCGGAGAATGTAAACGGGAACAAGAAGGTGTAAGAGCAAATGAAGAAGACTGAGAGGCTGTCAAGAAGGAGTGGCTAAAGTTTTTCAAAAAATCAAACCTTTCACCTATTTATAGGGTTGGATGGCGCCAGAATCGAGGCGACATGCCTCAAATTGGCTCTAGAATCAAAGCGTTAAACCGCCAGGCCTTGTCTCGAAAATTCGCGTAATGATGACGCACGTAAAGCTGACATCACCCCCGGGCAGTGTGTAATCTACAATGCTCCACTGGGTGTGAGAGTCTACTCATCGAGGACGCTCCCGGCCACGACTCCGACGGGTGGAGGGGCTAACTGTATGGGTCTGAATTTGACCAACCACGACCTGCAATGAGCACGACAAATGGTCGAGTACCTATGAGTCGACGCCAAGAAGGATACAACCTCGACGGTAGATTAAGCCTATCTAGGGGATGTCGAGAATATTCCTCAAGGATCTCTTGCATGTCATTTCTATGGGGAGGGGGGGTAATTTCCGAATATATAAGAAGAATGAGAGCCTTGTAAAGGGGGGGGACTCTGTAAAATTCTAAAACCTTGAATGAAAAAGAATCTCTACTATTTTCTTCTCTCTATTATTATCATCCTAGAGTTTATTATCTTCAGCTACGATTTACCCCTTCATCATTGATTGATTTGTTCAAAAAGGTTTTAATATCTTTTGAGTCAAACAAACGTAAATATGTTGGCAGTAGCAAAAGTAGCGTATGAGTAACGGGTTCAATGGAATTCAGTATTTTTGGAGGTAAGTGCAAAGATAATCAGTTTCGGGGCTGTCATTAAAGTTATACCTACTTTATAAATAAATTCCAAGTCTACCCACTTTTGAAATAAATTCAAACATGTTCTACCTAAAGGAAAGATTTGCATCAGACCTTTTTGTACAAAAGTTATGGCCCTAGCAAGGTCACAACTTTAAACTTTTTTGGCCTAAAGTGTGGCCTTGGCAAGGCTAAACTTCAGATGTTTTTGGCCTGAAGTTGTGGCCTTAACTTACTTCGGAAGGTTCAACTTTGGCAAGGTCACAACTTCATACCATTTTTGGCCTGAAGTCTACAGACCTTTTTGGCCCGAAGTCCTGGCTTTGGCAAGGCCAAACTTTCAGACTTTTTTGACATGAAGTTATGGCCTTGACAAGGCCAAACTTTAGACCTTTTTGGCTCGAAGTTATGCTCAGCATGGTGGGTTCAGATATTTTTGGTCTTAAGTTTGGGCACAAGTTAAATAATTTAGAAAAAGTGGATATAAGTTAAATGGGATGCGTAAAATTGGGCGCCTCGTAAAACTTTTACGTATTTTTTATGAAAAATATGAATTATAACTTGATATTTTTAAATATTTGATTATAAACTCAATTATTATTGTATATTAACTTAAAATTAAAACTAAATAACTTATAAACTTTAAATCGTGATCTGCCTCGGACCAAGTTTCCCTTTTGCCATTGAACTCTTTTTTGTTGTAATGTCGATCTAGGCCACAAGCACAAGTCTGAAGGCCCAACTTAAATTTTGATGCAGAGCAGCCCGTACATTGAGTTCACTATTCAAGGCACTATTTGATTTTTTTGCATGATACTCCATCCGTTCATTTTTACTTATCACGTTTCGTTTTTCGAGAGTCAATTTAATTAATTTTTAAAACAAAATTATATTAAATTTTTAAAATATTTTATACTTACAATTTAGATATTCGGAAACTATATAAAAGTGCTATAATTTGTAATTTTTCTCATATCAATATGGTGAAAAAATACATGTTAAACCATTGGTAAAAATTTATGCAGTTTGACTCTCGAAAACGAAACATGACAAGTAAAAGTGAACGGAGGGATTATATGATAGTGCTATAAGTATGAAATACTAAAATTTAATATTTTTGTCATATTTTAAAGTGCCTACCTTGACATCCCAAATTATGAAAAACGGATATTATATTAGTATGACAATGATATGAGTAGAAAGAAAGTGGAAATTCATATACAGTTAAATCTCTCTATAACAGTCTCATTTGTTTAGATATTTTTTGGTTGCTATAGTGAAACACTGTTATAAAAATATATATATTATAACATCACATAAAAATTGGTTCCAAGTAAAATTTTGCTTTTATAGTGAATGGTTATTAATAAGGATAATGTTATAGAGATCTGATTGTAGCCGACTCTAACTAATTTGCGACTGAGACATAATTACTATTGTTAGATATCTTATGTACCTCCATGTCATCAATTTTCGGAACTTTATATAAACTGAGACTATAATTACTTTATAATTCACCTTTTTGCCTCAATTTTATCACAAACCACACTGAGCTAATATGGATTGGTGTAAAAATCATAGGAGATATCTAATGTGGATTGATCAAATTACATTAACATGACTTACTGAAATTTACAGTATAATATATATATATATATATATATATACTCAACAAATGGATGCAAATTGCGTATTAAGTAAGAAACGGAAAATATAAAATTTAATCCAACTTGATAGCAAGATGGTTGTTTTAGTTTGGTGATCACCTCCTTTTGAATTATACACCTCGAAGCTACTCGAATATCAACTAAAAATATTGATTAAAATATTATAATATACTTCTTCCGTTTATTTTTACTTGTCCGGTATTCTAAAAATAGATTTTCACTTTTACTTGTCACTTTTAGCATATCAATAGAAGACAATTTCTTTTTTCCTATTATATCCACGGTATTAATTACTCATTTCAAATTATTTCTCAAATTCATTAAAAATATGCATTAATTAATATGAGTATCATGGTAAATTATGTATTGCATTTATTATTTCTTAAGGGACATGCAAAGTCCATAGTGGACAAGTAAAAGTGAACGGAGGGAATAAATGCTAAAAAGATTATCAGATTTATTTGTTTCATCAGCTATTTATGAACTCACACCCAACCTTTAACTGTGGCAACTGCCAAACAAATAGTTGGCTCAAATAGTGAAAAAAATGCCAGGTAAACTATGTGTGGAAATTAAAACAAATAGTGTCGAACTCGGATAAATGGTAAAGTTGTTTTCTTGTGATCAGAAGGTTACAGATTTGGGCCGTGGAAATAGCCTTTTGGAGAAATGCATGGCAAGATTGCATATAGTAAACATTTGTAGTCCGGCTCTTTCTCCCGTATCTCCCACATAGCAAAAGCTTAGTGCACCAAACTGCCTTTTTAGTGTCATACTCAGGAATTTTAAGCAAGCGGATTGAATCGGAAATTTAAGATAGAAACCCACTGGACACCACTAGTACCAGTGGCAATTGACACACGAAGTAAGTTTATTTTTCTATTTATAATAGAACCTCAAAACTTTGTAGTTTTTTAAAACCGCTTCATTTTATATGATAATATTTGACTAAATACAAATTTAAGATAGAAAGAAAGATAACTTTGAACACATAAGCTAGATATGTATAACATACACCAGTGTATTGTAATCATAAATATATCATATCTTTAAAGGTAAAACGAAAATGTTAGAATTAATTTCTTTTTTAAATAGATTAAAAAGAAAAAAGAGTACCACATCAAATGAAACGAAAGTGATACAGTCAAACATTTCTATAACAGTCTCTTTTGTTCCGATATATTTTGGCCGCTATAGTAAAGTGTTGTTATAAAGGACATACATTATAACATAATATAAAACTTGATTCCAAAAAACTTTGGCTTTTATATTGAATTGTTGTTATATAGAAACGTTGTCATAGAGAGGTCTGACCGTAAAAGAGAAACACATCTGTCCCTAATTAGGTAAACTTCAGATTGCCATGAATTGAAACACTTTCTACTTTTGTCATTCTAATCTCCAAATAGGGCAATTCTACATACTTCCTGAGTATACTAAAAACAAGCAACTTTAGTCTAAACAAACTTGACAATGTTTTAATTTTATGTGGACTTAAAGACTTAGATGTACTAAAATAGGCAAGACCTAAAGAGTGAGCGTTGGGTAAGGTATGACCTATACTTATTTCTAACATCCTTTAGTCTTTAAAATGTCTCCTATATATCCTTTCACTTTCCTTGTATACTACCAGCATGTTAAACTTTCATAATTGATCTTTATTCACTACAAAAAAAAAAAAAAAAAAGGAGAGAGAATTTAGCTATGAATTTCGTCGATAATCTGTCGCTAAATCGCTAGTAGCTAACAAAGTTTCATGATAATATGTCGATAATCCATCGCTGAATAGGATTAGCGATCATTTTTCTGTTTAGCTACAGAATTTGTCCATCTCTAATTCTTGTTTATTTAGTACTGTAATGATTTTTCTTTTAATTTTTCCACTTTAAGACAATTGACAAATATGCCTCAAAGATCATCTCAATTTCCCATTTCACTTAAACTCAAGTATGTAAAACTTGGCTACCAATATCTTGTTAACAACTTCTTGACATGTCTATTGGTGCCCACAATGGCTTTGGTTCTTGTTCAAGCCATTCAATTAGGTCCTGAGGAAATCTTCAATCTTTGGAATTCCATTCAGTTTGATTTCATCAAAATACTCTGTTCATCTTTCCTTATCATCTTTGTGTCCATATTATACTTCATGTTAAGGCCTCGAGGGGTTTATCTCATCGATTATTCATGTGACAAGCCGCCTGTTTCCTGCCGCGTTCCATTTTCAACTTTCATGGAACATTCAAGACTTATACTTAGCTCAGAACCAAAGAGTGTTGAATTCCAAATGAGAATTCTTGAGAGGTCTGGTTTAGGAGAAGAAACATGTCTTCCACCAGCAATTCATTATATACCACCTGCACCTAATATGGAATCTGCAAGAAAAGAAGCTGAAATGGTGATATTTTCAGCAATGGATTCTCTCTTCAAGAAAACAGGAGTTAAACCTAAAGACATTGACATTCTTATTGTCAATTGCAGCCTTTTTTCGCCAACGCCATCTTTATCAGCAATGGTGATTAATAAGTACAAAATGAGAGACAACATTAAGAGCTTTAATCTCTCAGGAATGGGGTGTAGTGCAGGGCTAATCTCCATTGATTTAGCTCGTGATCTTCTCCAAGTCTATCCAAAATCGAAAGCTGTTGTTGTTAACACAGAAATCATCACACCAAATTACTACAGAGGCAAAGATAGATCAATGCTACTCCCTAATTGTCTGTTCAGAATGGGTGGTGCTGCCATTCTTTTATCAAACAAATGGGCAGATCAATGGCGAGCCAAGTACAAGTTGCTACATGTGGTGAGAACCCACAAAGGAGCAGACGACAAATCTTACCGTTGTGTGTTTGAAGTAGAAGATTCAGAAGGGAAAGCAGGAATTTCTTTGTCAAAAGACCTTATGGCTATAGCAGGGGAAGCCTTAAAATCTAATATAACAACAATTGGACCTCTTGTTCTTCCTCCATCAGAACAACTTCTCTTTCTCTTTTCACTCATTGGCCGAAAAGTCTTTAACCTGAAACTAAAACCATATATTCCAGATTTCAAACAAGCGTTTGAACACTTTTGCATTCATGCTGGTGGTAGAGCAGTGATCGATGAACTGCAGAAGAACTTGCAGCTATCTGCAGAACACGTTGAGGCATCACGAATGACACTGCACAGATTTGGAAACACGTCTTCTTCGTCGTTGTGGTATGTACTGAGTTATATTGAAGCTAAGGGACGGATGAAGGAAGGTGACAGGATTTGGCAGATTGCATTTGGGAGTGGATTTAAGTGTAACAGTGCTGTTTGGAAGTGTAACAAGACAATCAAGAATCTAAGTGATGGACCTTGGTCTGATTGTATCCACAAATACCCAGTTTACATCCCTGAAGTAGTAAAGCTCTAGGAGAAAAACCTTGGTTTTATGTTGCACTTGTACCCTATATAAAGTGAACGTTTCTGTGGCAAATATTGTTGTCTTGCCATCAAATACAAAGGGAAGTCACAGCTTTGAATTTTGAGCTAACCTATCTTGAGATTACTTCTAATTGGACTGCAAGAAATTGTATGAAACAATCACATTCTTGAGACATTACCAAAGACAACCAATCTTCACTTTACGCCACGCCGGACTCCCCTTTCGTCACAAGGCATAGAATTAGACCAAGGGGAATCTCTCTAGGAACTAGTCCCAAGGCATAGAATTAGACCAAGGGGAATCTCTCTAGGAACTAGTCCCTTCTATTTCGCACTACAAGTTTCACATCTAAGTAATACCCGATCAGCTAGTTTACGATATAAATAGGTAGATAGATATTTCTTAAGAACATTCTAAGAAAAAATATTAACACATATCGGTAGTTGTCCGGTCCTACCCAAACAGTAATATTCCATAGGGAAATGCACCTAAGATCAAATATTTCGAGCCGGCTTCCGTAGAAAATTCAAACTTTCTTTTTGTTGTTGCGATCACATAAAAACATAAACTTTGAGGCTCAATAGCTAAATACATGGCAATTGAATCACAAGCCGAGATCATAAAGATGTTTTCTCAATCTCAAGGTTCAATCGGCAAATCTTGGTTTCAGAGCATATTTGTTTCATAAGGGTTTAAGTTACATTTCTAAATAGGAAGAAAACCTCACATTACATTTATCTTCAAGTGCTGTCACATTTTAACATAGGGACTCAACGTCGGGGAGGACCACGATTGTCATAGGAACCCCAACCACCGGCACTGTATGGATCACCATATGCACCGCCAGGATATCTCATCTCAGGGCTTCCGTTCATCACGCCATAAGCTCCTACACCTAAATCAAATAGAGAAAACATAAACTAAGATTTTTCCACGGGTCGAAAGTTTACATCAGAAAAACAGATATGAAAGGAGATAGAGAACTTACCAAGGCCCCGTCCAACTTTCTCTGCTCGCAGCTTTTCTATTTCACGAGCCATTGAAATGAGATTCTTCTCCATAGATTGATTTTGTTCCACCAGTTCTGTATTTGCCTTCTTCTCATATTCAAATTGTCTCCTGCAATTTCATCATCAAATTGAATAGTCAAACCGAGAAGTTCTACGAGTTAGCCATCACATACGTTCTCAATTGTAAAGAATGAGGATCATGACACCTGATAACCATAATAACAAAGTATTGCATTTTTTTCATCTTTTTCTTTTGGAGAAAAAGTTTTAACTCCATACCTTGCTTCCATCAACTCTTTGCGCATTTTATCAATATCAGTTTTTATAGCTGATAATTGCTTATTCTCAGTTTGTAGTCGGTTAGAATCCTTTGTAAGAGCTTGAACTTGGGCAGATAATTCTTTCTGTACAGCAGTTAACTTCTGCGCTTCAGCTTTCAATTGGATTACCTCTAACCTCAGAGGCTCAGTAGCTCGAAGATCAGCTTCTAACCTCATTCCTCTGTCAATATACTCCCTTACTTGCGCCTCATTATCAGCACGCATTTTGGGAATGACCTGACTTAATCTATGCATTTCATCTTTTACAGCAGATAATTCCCTTTCAAGCATCACATTCTCATCAATCACATGTCTGTTTTCGCCAAGAATTCTTTGCATATCCCTATGCTGGATTTCTAGTTCCTCTTCAAGGGCTGCAGGGTGAGGAGGGAGGGGCCCAGGTCCTCGCTGCATAATGACCCGTGGTGGTGGCCCATCACGGAATCCTCGGAAGTTATCAGGTTGACGGGGCATACGATTTCTACCAGCCATAACTATGAAAAATCAATGAAGAAAAATAATAAAGTTCAGCACTTTGAATAAAAAAGCTGAGGAGAAAAAGAAGATATTATATACAAGAGCGCGCTAACAATACAAGAGTGATAAAGCATAGGCTTAGCCACCGTTTCAGATGACATAAAACAAATTTGGATTTATGGCTAGTATATGTACAATAGAGGCAATATATTTGCTTAAAAAGAAAGAAAGAGCGTATGATAGATCGTCAAGAAAAGCCTTTTGATGGGTGATGGAGAAGAAATGAATACATATCAAATATATAGATGTTATAAAGCATATTCACGGAGCAGTCGACACAAGCGTGAGAGCAGTAATTAAGGAATACAAGGAAGTTTCTCATAATTGTGGGCCCACACCAGGTATTATATTGAGAATGTACTTGTATTAACCCTAGAAATGAAAGAACTACCTAATAATCTTGAAATCTCTTGGTGTATGTTATTTGCAAATGATATTTTGTTAATCAATGAGATTAGTCTGAGTGTCAACTAAGAGCTTCAACTATGGAAAAACAATATAGATGGTAATGGTTTTAGGATAAATAGACATGAAACAGAATATACGCACTGCACGTCCAAAGCATAAGCAAAACGAAATTGAGGTGAGATTAGACGGATTGAAGTGCCTAAATGCAGACAATTCAGATGTCTAATGATGAGGATGTAACACTTACAAATAAGCAAAATTGTTGAATTGGAGAAGTACTACAGGAGTGTTATGCAATTGGAAGATACCTACCTAAATGAAAGGCAAGTTGCAGAGAACAGTTGTAAAACTAACAATGTCTTAAAGAAGTGAACAAGGAGCCCCTAAGGTTGGAGCCTCTTATCCCCAACATATCCACAACGCAAGTATCGCGCAAGTACAGATGTTAAGATAGAAATATGGTTATACAACATCAGAAATGATCACATCAGAAAGAAGGTACAACTAGCACACACAAGAGACAAAATGAGAAAAGGTTGGTAGTGTCTCGTAGGATAGGAAGTTGTTCTGAAATACTTACAATCTCTTGACATCCACATAGACTTTAGCAAAAAATGAATTAGAATGGTAGAAAAAGATCAATACATGCAACAAGTGATGTTTTCATTAAAAGAAAGGCTTGGGGATGTTGGTAGTTCATATTATGTCCAATGTATACTAGGAGTATCTTTTATCTTCGTAAAGATTTGTATGTCAATAGAACATTTAGAGAATTTCTAGTGTTAGGGAACTTAAATTATTGAATATTGGAATGAAACACGTTCAAATGAACCAAAATAGATAGCGATGATCCATATAGCCAACCCAAACTACTTCGGTTGAGTTTTAATTGTTCTAGTTGTATTCATTAACCTTTTTTAGAACAAAATCATTGGATTTAAAACTATCCCAAAAACAATCATGCATTGAAAAGATGCTTAGGAAAATCGTTTTCTAGACAATGTAGTGATGACCCAAGTACAAATCATATATGATAAATCGGAAGCCAAAATACACATATATGCGATCTATGAGTGAAATGCACATTGCTTGCAAAGCGACAACCTAAAACCCGAACGATTGATGGGTATGGAAACTTTCTCAGGGGGAATTTAATGAAAGAAATTGAACACTTGCTATTATTTTTAACTGGTAAAGTTAAATTACTTAGATTAGTGTAAACACTCGATTTGGATAAGTATTTACCTTAATCAAATTCCTAAAAAATAAAAAGCACAGATGCTAATTAAATTCCTCAGACTACTAAAACTGTACTCTCCTACTAAGTGAAATCAATTAGTTAATTAATTGAAAATGTTAATTTCAATATCCACATATACAAAAAAAAAAAAAAAAAAAAAAAAAAAAAAAAAAAAAAAAAAAAAATGCAAATATCTGAGTAAGATATTTTCGTGTTAATCAGCCTTCCGATACTTTAAAAAAGAAAAAACCTCAATTATACTCGTAAATTCCTAAATTTATTTAGACCTTAAAAATTAAGGCAAATATTAACAAATTCTAAAGAAATGATTAAATAAACGAATATCCTAATTGTCTGCCGCCACAAATATGCGCCTAGCGACATAATAAGGGGAAAATATATGCAAATACTGAAAATAAAATCGATTCAGATTTTAATATAAAAAGTTATAAATAATTTTAAAAAATTGAACGGAGAGAGGGATTAAACAGTACCTGAGAGATACAGCTTTGCTTCGACGACGATGAAGCTCGGCGGAGTAGACAGACTCAAGCTAAAGGCCACTACTATGGGCCATACTAAAAAGACAGCATTGCTCTTTCTACTTTGGGCTTTTTATTGGGCCGAATTGATACTTGGGGCTCCTAAGATATTTATTGACGGTCCAGTTCTTTTTGGGTGAAATTCAAAAATAGCCAGATTTACGAGTGATAATCAAAAAATAGCCACAGTTTCAAAAATAATTGAAATTTAGTCATTTTTCATATAGAGATAAATTTTTACAAAAATATGTTCAAAATCCGAAAATATTCCAGCATAATATATTGGAGTTTGAATTTTTTACATGTGAACTTCCAGCATAATATACTAGAGTCCCAGCATAATATACTGGTTTAGCATAATATGTTGCAAGTTCATACACAGGTGCTTCAATCTCCAGTATATTATGCTAAAACTTTTCGTGTGCTGGAGTTTCAGCATAATATGATGGAAGTTCATACACAGGTACACCAATCTCCAGTATATTATGTTGGAAGCTCATACACAGGTACACCAATCTCCAGTATATCATGCTGGAACTTTTCTTGTTACAGCAAAATGGTGGTTATTTTTCAATGACTTTGCAAATGCTGGTTATTTTTCAATTACCTGTCTGAAAATTGACTATTCCGTGCTATTTTCACAATCTTTTTGGTCCGTTTTTGGAAAAATTACACAGTATAACAGCTCACAAAAAATAATAGCCTACAAAATATATAATTTTATATATAAATATATAATATACATATTTCATATGTTTGACTAATAAATATAATTATTTTTACTGACCAGCCAAATATGTAAACTTGCCCATTATTTTTTAATCTTCCTTTTAGCTGAAAACATAAAACAAAAGAACGTATTTTTTCTCATTTTCGATATATATATGTTATTTATTAAAAAAGGTGATACTTGATGATTATACTTGTATTATGAGGATTCGTACTACTTTGTATGATCGATCGATTGTTATGTGAATATAATAGAAGAAATTACATCACATATCACTTGGGACATACAACCCATTCGAAAATAGCCCACATTT